ATTCAAAAAATGGATAACCATTCCTTCAGCTACTACCCACTAAATACAGGAAGAGTTAGCTTAGGTAAGCGTATACTCGCTATTTCACAAGATTTAGTTTCCACACTAATGTCTAACATTCTTAACTCTGGTTAGCATTAAAATTAACTCATCAGCCGTATCTTGTATGACCTGTTGTTCTTCTATAAATACATCAATATCTTTTTCTTCACACACTACAAATATGTTACTAAAAATATCCGAAAGTTCGGTCATTAAGTCATTTAATCTAGATTTAAAAAGTTCTAACTGATCAACATCAGCAGAATCGTAAGTCACGGTAATTTTCTCTTTCAGTTTACTTAACTTAGCTTTAGCTACACGCTTTTTAGTCTTAAGCGTTGTAAATTCCATAATCTAATAAGAAAGATAAAAAAACACACTGACTCACCAAATTTACTGTGACTCCGGCTCGACGGACCATAAAACATGTACATTCCGTTGTTTAAAAATAGTGGACTGTAAATTAACTTGATGTTACTTCAGTATAGAACCCAAAAAACCTCAGACTCCTAACGTTGACCGAAACTTCTTTATTGACTTTCAAATAGTAAGTTAGTTGAGGAACGGCGAAGACCACACAAACTCCGACTTCAGTGGCGGCTTACCAACACAATCATAGACATAGTAAGCATGGCTGTCTTGAGGTCTTTGAATTCCTTGTAATATTTACAATGACTGAGAAGTGGTCACTATCGTAGAGATTCTTCCCTACACTGAAAGAGCAGAAAGGTAGAAGAGATCAATTGCATGAAATGTTCTAGTCAGCTGATGAAAGTAAATGTGTTCTCCATTATTAAGTAAACAAATAGAATGATCTTCCATTAATTGTTCGGTCTGCCGGCCCCTTAAATTAGTGCCTCTACTTCCCCATAAGGTATTATGGGCACTGAAGTCCCCTAAAAGCAAAAAAGATTCTGGAAGCTGCTCTATTATTCTGTCCAACTCTCGCTGATCAACATGCTCATGTGGGGGTAAATACATGGTGCATACAGAGATTGAAAAGCGTAAATTAATCTGAACCGCCACAGCTTGAAGGAAGGTCGTCAAAGGGAGAGCAATGTATGGGTGATTGTGGGAGGCGATAAGGCCCACACCACTACAGGCACGATTTCCAGATGGGTTATCCTTTCTTACTGCGGTATATCTCCGTATCTTAGCACGTCTGCTTGGTTTTAACAAGGTCTCCTGAAGCGGAAAGCAGGCAGGTTGATGCATGTTTATTAAATCCTTGATGTTATCCAGGTTTTGACGAAAACAGAGGAAAACACAGGCAATTCCACGAACTAAATGTACCCATTATGAATGCTTGTTTTGGCGGTGGTTTTGTTTCGACTTTCGAGGCAAAAGGTGTTTCGGAAGGGATAACCCTTCTTCAACGTCCATTTCGTCAGAGTCGTCTAGACGTCCTGAACTCATGCTTGCAATGGAACTTTGACTGGGGGTCCTGGGTTTTTGCTTATTTTTCTTTGATACCATCTCTATGTTTGTTCTGTTGGACATCCTGTTTTACTTTGGGCGCAGTTACCGGCGTACTACTTTCAACATCAGGCTTTCTTCCCGGATTTTTGGTTTCTAGGATCTTCTGTCATTGCTAGTTCTTTTTTCTGTGGGGTTGTTGCTGTTTGCGTTGATATTTATCTTAATGATTTTGTTGAGGATGCATAAGATTTATTAGGTCTTGACTAATTAAAGAGAACAAGTCTTTTGGCTTCTGCAATTGATATCTTTTGTGCAACTTTAATATTTTGATGTTTTTCTGTCTGCCATTTCGGACGTGATTTATAAAAAGCTGGGTGCTCGCCTTCACCAGCATGGCCTATGATAGAACATCGAGCGCACGTGAGGCTACTGCGACAAGGTCTTTCCATGTCCAAAGCGCTGACATTGAAAGCAACGCACTGGATTCCGTATATATGGCCTGACTGAACCGTTTAGGTATCCAGCTTTGATGTTTTTAGGCAGGTTAGGATACTTGAAAGTAAATATGACACGTTTAGTGGGAATGAGTTGACCTTTCCGTATTTTGATCCTATGAGCACCATACACGTTTTGATCTGCCAACTCTAACAAATTCCTCTTCAGTTACCGATAGTAAATCTATTTCAGAGATTATTCCTCAAGACGAATTTAGAGAGTTATGTGGCTTAACTGCAATGTTTGCTTGTCCTAATTTAGTTAAGTTTCAAAAGACTATTAGACTGCTTTCCGGACACAGTATCTATCAAAAGGTCTCCAGACCGAAGTCTTAGTATTTTTTCAGTTCTCCTGCAGAAAACAAAAGATGTTTATTATAAAGGGTGATATTTTTTTCAATTCTTCAGAGCTGGTTATAAGTAAGAAACGTGGACAAAGTACATCCGATACAATGCTTTCTATGTCACTTCTTAGTCTTTTGGTCACAGTCGGAGTATCGGGTACATTGTTGGAGCAGGAAGGTATCTTAGTATTCATATTTAAATGGAGAAAGATTCGGGTCCGACCGCCCCACCCACCATGGAGGCCAACAAGGGAACGCAGATTCCTATGCCAGGGCTAGCCGGACCTATACGCAAATTGAAGTCCCACAGTCGGTTCCTCAGGTTAACTGAAGCAGAGGTCAAAGCAGTGTTGGGGACAGTACCTCGCCCCTCAATTACCAGGACCTTCCTTTCCAGTGACACAGGTCTCCACGCACGGGAAACACGTGGGCAGTTTTCTCGCCACTCGCAGAACTAGGGACAAGACTGTTCCAGTTCCATTATAGAGGAGAGGAGTTAGAAAGGAGGAGAGATTACTGGGACTTCAGGATTGTGACATCCGATTACCTAGACGGTAATCCCCTGAAGGTATTTTCACCTGCTATGCTTTAGCTGGGTATGTTGGAACGGCCTTCACGCCTAGGGTGGCCCTAACAGGAGCTATGCTTCCGACGTACTTCCTCACCCCCACCACGTTGAGGCAGCATAGCAGGACTTGAGGTGTGTTGGAGGGTTCTTGCAATTTATGAATAGTGTTATAGCGAAACAGTGTTACAGGATGCCGTATTGTAGGAGGGCTACCTGTACTCAAAATTCTAAATTTCCCAATATATTATTTCTTCATTTTAAGTCTTGCCTAATGCAATTGAACATCAAAACTGCTAATAAACATCTAGTATTGTAAGAATATAGTTTATTCAGAACGCGTTAATAGTATTTGCACATTAGTTTCACCGAAACGTTTTGGAAACCCAATTTTTGTTTAAACGAAAGTGCTTCACAAGAATTATAGTCTGCAACAAGTATGTTAACAGTTCCATATTTGAAGTGAGCACAGCAAAACGTTACAAATTAACAGCACGCCGTAGAAATTTCGTAATTATTTGAAAGGTTGTAAAGTATTTGAAATGCCCAGAAAACCCAACGTAGATAGTTCGAGCAACTTTGATGCTACAAAACGATAGAAATAGCATGGAACCGTTGAAAATGCGTTGAACAAAAATTAGTGCCGTGAAAGTTAGTGGATTTATAAAACCGGCTTGCAATAAAAATTAACATTGAAAGTGTCAGTCATTAGGATGCATGGATAAAATGGACGAACAAGGAAATTTAGTTAAGAAATTTAAGGAAAATACGCGTGGAGTTCCCAAAATCCAGCAAAAGTTATTTATCGTATTGGAACAATCTTAAGTTTTCAGACGAGCGGAGTTTTAATACATTTGAATCTGATAGATGAATAACTACGTAGCGAAAGCCGAAAGAATTGAATACCGAAAACTATTGCCTACTCTTAAGCACGGGGATGGTTTGGGGACATTCAACTGCTTTCGGCATGAGAAATTTAGTTTATAAAAAACATGGATCAGTATATGCTTAATGAAATATGTATATAATCAATATATGCCGAGTATTTATTATACACTTAATGAAAAACCTAAAAGTATCTGCAAGAAAGCAGAGAAGTTGGATGTATTTTGCATTACTTCAGGATTAATGATTTTATACATTGTCCTAAATAGGTGCTTGTAGTTACTATAAAGCTGTCCTGAAGTTCAGATGTCTATAGTCATCGGACTTAAACTTTCGACTACTGACGGGACATAGGTTCCTCTAAAAGCTTAAAAATTACTGTTGGGTTGAAAAGTATAATCTCCTGAATGTTGTGGCATCATCTTCCAATAGTTGGAAAATCAAAACGCCGCTGTGCTCGTTGTACACAAATGAACGTAAATAGAAAAACAAATCTACGTGCGAGACATATGTATCACCATTAACTATGGCAAGCCGGAAACAGTTTGTCAACAACAGTTTGGCTTTAAAACAGTTTGTCAAAAAAATCCGAAATGTTAAATTCACCTGACGACTTTTTGTTCACTTAGAAAACTGGTTAAACGCATTTTTTGTAAATTCGTGGTCACAGGGTTAAATTCTACCAAACGCATAAAGGTGAATTGGAAAAGCATAAGGAAAGCCGATACTTCTTCGGGAAGTTCTAAAAAGAATTTTTTACGGAGGAATGGAAAAATGAAATAGTCCCCACCCCACACACACACATCCCAAAAAATATAGACGAATGATTTAAGGTCATCCATCGAAATACTGAAACGCCTATCGTTTTTATTATTAAGTGTAAACCATTTGTTGGAAGTGCCCGAATACTTGCGAGTTCATGTTGAGCTTTGAATAAATTATTAAACAAAAACATAGAGTAATGTTTTTTGAAAACAAGTGAATTTTAAAAAGATCAGCAATGCAAGTCATTTCGACGTTTAGTAAACGATATTTAACAAATGAAAGTAAAAATACAAGGGTCCGAAAGCAACGTGAGCTATTGCATAACGAATTCAATGAGTAGTGTTTGACTTTGTTCTAAATTGAATGAGGGAATTTCACGGGAGCTTATTAATATCCTGCAGCATTAAATATGTGCAATAAGGAAAGGATCACTCAACTTCGCATTTGGTAATGAAATTTCAGACGTTTTACAGAAAAAACAAAGGATATAGGAATTCAAATTTATTGTGTTACAGTTATTAACTTCACAATGCGGACAACACATTAGAAACGCTTCCAATACACATGAGAACATTTACAAATTTCTTTTTCTATCGCGAATCAACTTCACAAATTCTCTGGATTCTTCTTTCCCCCGTTTAATATCGGCTTTCATCTCTTCCGACCTAGCTTTGTAAAGCTCCAAAAATATTTCTTGTACTGCTGCAAGTTTTTCTTCACGTTCAGATGCAGGTGAATTGCTCTCACTGCTTTCTCCTTGAGAAGACTGCTCGCAGAATTTCCTGAAAAATCAAATCCATGCTTATACACATACTTTTAATGAGGAATAGAGTATTTTCTTATCAGTTCTTCTAAGCAATGACTTCTTAAGCATTTAATCTAATTTTTAGATGTTCATTTCCAGATTGCTATCAAGATTTGAACGCTACCTTTTAAGACCTGCACAAGCATTTGAAGTAAGATTATATTAAAATCGTTGAAGTGTATAAATCCTAGGTTCTCACACTTTATTTGAGCATTATGCAAGATGAGAAAGAACAGAAAAAGAGGTTTCTAACTTAAGATAAAACAAAAATTGCCTTTACCATTTTCACACGGCGGCAATAGGTATAAGCGGCTTGCGGTCTTACACCACAAGCAGCTTCTGTGAGACAGATGAGGATGTTTTAACCAAAGAAATTTGAATTGGGAGAAGTAAAGCTTCAACGCCACAGAAAAAAATTCAGTCTAAAATGTAAGGCGTTGACAAACTTTACAGGCGTAAAGACAGACTTTGAAATTCATTCAGGACTGCACAATCCAAAACCGTCGGCAATACTTGAGAACACAGCCTCGTCGTTCATACAAAATTCCATTACTATTTAAACTCAAGAAAAATAAACCTTAATATAAAGGTAACCTTTTAAATTTCAACAATGTTATAAAATATTGCATGTGTTTAGATTTGTGCTCCAAAAGAGCAATTCTAGGGCTGCAAGCTACTTTCTGATGGCAACACATATGATTCAGTTATCCTGTCAATTTTCACTACTCATCGCTACCATACATAATTCAACCAAACTTTAAAACAAGCTTTAAAATTTTCAGCTTTTAGGATATGTAAATTTCAAACAGAATCGTGTAATGTGTAACTTGCCAGCAAATTTATTGATTAAATACAGCAAAATTAATGGGAGGAAAGGTGCATAATAGAACTGGAATATATTCTGGCATATTCAGAATTAAAACAGTCAGATTCATAAAACTGGAGGCCTGAAACCCAAAAACTCGTAGAAATCATTAATTTTTCATTAACGTAGATACGAGTTAAGAAAGACGCCGATGCGAGTTAAGCAAGACGCCTTGATCCGTGTAGTGGCTAACGACGCTAGTTGCAGTATTCCTAGTGTCCGGATTCCGGAAAGGTATGGTTTTAGGCAAGTGATAACTTTGGGGGAACGTCTATGTAAGAGATAAAGCAATACTAAAATATTGGGTAGCCGGAAGCTCTGTAGAATGGTCCGATGATAGGCGGTTGAAAAACCTCGGATCCATCCCTCGAGACACGCTCCAGAATTGGAAGAAACCATTTTGGAATACATTAGAAAATTGGAAACTGGAACTTTGAATTACTACCATGCCACTACGTGAGAGACCATTTGAAGTAAAAGAACGTGCACTGACGTGCAGCACAGCTCCTTTCATAAAGTTAGTTTAATTTCAGGTTAAATGTTTAAAAAAAGGGCCCACGACGGTTGTCGTTTAAGGGCGAATACGGAAACAGAATAACTCTGAAAATTGTTACCAGCTTCAAATTTTATAAAAGCACATTTCACATTTTAAGTATAGGAAAGTTTAGGGGCTTTCCCGAATGTTTGAGAAATGTCTGTATATACCATCTGAAATCAAGCCCTGATTTAAAGAAATGTGCTGTAATTAACGTATCATGTCGAAGATCTTCAATAATTCTAGCTGTTGGGCAGATTGAAAGGGAATATTAGAAAAATTATCCTGGAGATAACTTTGTTAAACTATGCAAATTAACAATATACTACAGTTTAAATTTAAAATTGTTACTACTTACTTCATAGAGAACCGGTCGGACGAAATATGCTCGAGACATTTGAAGCAAAACAGCATTATCTGCAACATAAATGTATTAAGAGTAAGGCAGTTTTTACACTCAGAATTTTATGCAAGATTTACGAACATTAAATTTTGCTGCGAATTTGAGATTTACGATTTTAAAGTTTTAAATACTTTAATATATCGTTAATAGAATTTTCGCGAAAAACTAAATCTTACTCCGAAACTCAAATTTAAATCGGTCAATTTTGCTAGATTTCTGGGCTACCAAAAAGGTTTGTTTTCTTAAATTAGGTAAAACCACCTTTTATTGTCTGTTAATACCGATAAGCTAAAAAGCCGAAAGGAAATTCCAAATTTAGAAACGTCCTACATTGTGAAGTAAATCTGGACGTTTAGTGCAAGCTATTAAACCGTCGGGCAGCACAACAAAAAAACCAAACGTTCATTAATTCCCATACACTTCAAATACTGTTTTTACGAATTTTGAACGATTTACTTAAAAATAAAGTTTTAAAATGCTCTACTTACGGTTTTGCATAGCATGCATTTAGCACAAGACTTTTTCCAGAGATAAGTTGCTAAGATAACTTCTCATTAACTTGGAACTTTAGTACGCGACTCTAGAATACAAAAGCTCGTGATCTTTTGTATCCTTTTCCTAGTTACAATTGGAAAAAGTCTGCAAGTTAACCCTTCGATGATTGCAAGGTAAAGCAATTCTTCCCGAATACGAGCGATCTATTTACTCGTAAATGTTTAAACGCGAGCTGTGTCCGTTTGCGCCTACTGTGTTGTGTAACCGGAATACGAGTCGAGGTCGTTAGTGTTAAAAGCTAAAAAAAGTTAGTTGACTGCGCTTGAAGCACGTTTCTATAAAGTTGCAAATTTTCGTTGCGTAAATCTTTTTCCTTTATCACTGAATCCTATCACTACACTTTCTGCATCATGGGTTTATAAAACATTACTTAAGCTCTGCAGATTCCATACGTCGCACTGTGTGCGATATTCGCTGCTGATATAAATGCCTCATGAGCAATTAGCCCGTATTTTAATTGTTCAATCGACAGCAATGGCAAGGAGAAAAGTACCTTTCCCGGTTCACATTTATTCGGCGAAGACTTAAGCCTACGAGCGGATGAGCGGTAAAGTTGCTGAAAATTCATAGTTCGCTCTGGGTTCGATCCCAGGAAAACGAAGTAACTGCATAGGCGTTTTCATCGTTTGAACCGTATGTAACGTGGATACAGGCAAGTTTCTCTTTGAAAATGTGTCATGTAGACATCCCTCTTCTTAAATCACAGGGGTTGCATACACTGACTTAGTATTGTACTCTGATAGTCGTGGCTCTGAGGGCAAAATAACACGAACCCGGTTCCTACTTTCAGAAAAGGCAGCCTATGCTATTCCTTCGGCCATCCGAGCGGGGCCGTGACTACCAGCAACACGGAGTCAGTATCGCGCCCGCTCATTGTGTGCGTGCACGCGGGAGTGACGAGCGCTTGATTTAGTGGTTTAGCGTTTGGGGGATTGGGAGAGTTAAAATTCGGTATTCTTGGATTAAGCGCCAAGGTTTGTAGCCAGTACAGGATTTACGTACAAGTTGCAGCTTTATAATTCAAAGAAGCCATAAGAACTTTTCTGACTTTGAAGTTATTCATAAAATTTTTCAAAGAGGAATAGATTTCCATTTTCTTGTGTGTGGGGGGGTAGTAGGAATGGTTTGATTTGTCAACTGCATTCATCTAAACCTACTATCAGGTACACACATTCACTTAAAAACACGCGGCGCTTACCAGATATTAGAATCTAGAGACAATTTCTTCAAGATTGAGTCTTCCAATCCTCATAAATTCTGCAGTCTTGATTTCGGACATAAAACCCCAATAACTCACTCCTCAGGCTTCTCATCTAGCTATTTCAATGATTTTCTAACATGTTTCTCAAAGATCTGATGTCAAAGAAAAAAGTTTACTTATGCTCTTAGAATATAATTTTAAAATAAGCATTAAAGTGGTTTGGAGATGTTACCAAAATATGCCCGTTTTATAGATAGTGATTGAAAATTTAACCGATATTGCAAAGTCGCAAAATTAAAACATAATTTGGATAAAAAGTTTCTCACGAAAACAAATACATAGAAATAAACTTCAGTTCCGAATTTCGCTATTTTATGAAAAAGGAGAATTTTAAAAGGTTTCATTAAATTATTAAATATTGCTCATTTATGTAATTACACTAACAGTATCATGAGAGAACTCAAGTAAAAACTATAAACGACTCTTAACTCTAGGGTCTTACAGAGCAGTCGCTCTGTAACAGCACGGAATAATGTTACCATTATTTCGTGCTGTACTGAAAAGTGCCGTTATGAAATATTGCATTGTTAAACAAGCGGGGGTAAATAGTACAGCAATAAGATACATTCCGATGACCTTAGATCACGTTGAGGTACGTATAGCTAATGTAAACAAACAAGATCATTCTTCTTGCGGAATGCATTTCATTGGTTAAAAAACTTCGTGAACTTGGGACCATTTAATAAACTGAAATAGGAAAACTTCCCGACTTGAATGACATCTGCATATGTTAAAACGCAAAAAAGCATAACTGACTTTGAATATCCCTTTCATATAATATAGTAATGTCAGGAAAAGTAAGCTAAAAAGGAGCAAAAATGAAGGAACTTTGATAGCAAATTCAAGAAAAATAATTACCAGATATTTTTGGAACATTCTATCCTGCAAGTCATGCCTGCAAATAAAGAATTTAAATTTAGCAGCGCAACATTATATCAAAATGCTTCATTCCAATGGTCTCAAAACGGCGGCACGAAAGTTGCACGGCCCGCGAATACATTTTTCTTAAATTAGCATCATTAAGACAATGTACCGATGCACGAATTTAAAGAAAAGTTTAAGATTTTAATTATCGAGAATTTTGAAATTTTATTACCGTTGAAAATGAACCAGACTTCTAGAAAACCTATAAAAGTAGCTAATCAGTTACATTTACAGGTACCAAGTTATTTAGTGATAAAAGTCTTAAAAAATTTGAACAGATTTGATTAACCTTTTTTCGAACTTGTCAAAATAAATATCCTCAGATACAAACTTTGGCAATAAGAATAGTTTTTTTGGGGGAATACATTTATATGTGAACAATTTTCCGCTGCATTTGAAAATTAGCACTTTTAAAATAAGAGCTAGGATGATCGATGAGCATCTATAATTCATAATAGCAATAGTTTATAGTAATTTTCTGAAAGATTACGAACTTTTAACGAAAAGTCACGAGATATTGTAGCTGAAAGTTGTAGCAAGAAATTTATCTGCATACAAATATACGTTTTTTCCGTATGTGTTCGAAAAGTAAAATACAGATAGTCTTTTCAAGTTTACACCCACTGAAACAATTTTCTTAATTACATTTAGTTTAAGTTAATGGTTAATTCAATACTCTGGAATTATTTAAAATGTTAGTCTGAAACTAAATTTTTTCAGAGATGAAATTGAAAGTTATCAATTTGCGTCATTGATATCCTCGTTTATATATATATGTTTAGATAATTAACTTTTAAATAAAATTGAAGATTTCAGTTTAAAAAAATTTCATTCAAATGAAATTTTCATTTCAGCAAGACCTCAGCCCGTCAAGTTGCTTTCGGATCTTGCATTCCGCCCGCCTGAAATTAGAGACCACTGGTTTAGAAAACGTCAATAAAATATTACATAGTTCGAAAACGTAAAGTTTTTTAACCAGATAAAGAATACTCACCCACAGAGGTGCCAGTCGTACGATACTGTAAGGAAAGCCATTTCCAGAGGGTTCAAAGACTGGTGGATTAAACCATCGGCCCAGAGCGACAAACGTAAAAGGCATACGAAAAGTGGTGTCCTATCCAAACCATTATGGGAGTTTATGAGAATTCCCTTTTTCTCTAAAACATTAATAGGAATTTTTTTATACAGTCGATAACAAGCGAAAACAAATATTTCTTTTAAATAATCAATTAACTGAACACTGCAAGTTTTAAATTAACACTGCAGATTAATTGTATTTTTAATATTGTTAATGCATTCCAAGATTACAGTATAGTTTTAAGCTAGTAGAAGGGTCTTTTGTCTCTAACATCGATCTCGTAATCACCAACAGCATGCGTAGCCTCCTCGGCTAAAGCATCCACCCTCTTTACCCAGGAAACCTCTGCATTAATCCATGAAAAAACAATAGGCGTTGTGCTCTTTTACATATAAATCCTTGATGTCACCAAAGCCTTGATTACAGTTACCCGGGCAAAAGAGCCTGATTGGATTACTCAACTATGGCAAAGCACACGAGGCTATCTGGCTAAAGGGAGGGATGCCTTCGTGGAGGATTTTCTAAGGGAAACTGGCTCGTATACACGTTAACATGGAAAACCGAACCGCCATGCCGCCGCCGTTCGGAATTCGAACCTCGGACCGAACTACCAGTATTCAGCGTCTTTACCGCTTGGTCGCTGGTGGGCCCCAAGAGAGCCTGAAGCGCAGAAAGACAGTATATAATTTTTTTTTTCAAATTTCTATTTATCCACCTCAGGGCATAAAGATCTTCCACATAACAGTACCACTCAGAGCCTATAGGAGAAGACTGCATTATCAATTATCTGAAAATAATATTTCAGAACAGTGGTGAGCTGTAGGCCCCTGAGGGCATCTTTTCTAATATCTAACAAGTCATACAAGATTCAGACGAGATGGTAAATAAAATCATTTCGTTGTGAAAGGTCCTTAACTGTTCTCATGAGGGAGGACCAGCAAACGCCATCAAAAGGCTTACTGATATCAAATGAAATCAATACAATGCGATTGACATTTACTTTTCACAAAGTTTATTAGATCGAATAAATCATCGTTGGTCGAGCTCCCTTTAATAAAGCAATATGGTGGTTCACTGGAGTTTTTCCATTAAAAACAAAAGAGAACCAAGACCCATTTGGGGAAAGACATTAGACAAATCACTGCCCGAATATTCACCTGTATAACAACTGCTTGGAGAGTTAACCAAGGGAAGGAAGGGTAGTTGGTGTTAATGGAGGTAAGCAAGCCTACACCACTTGTACGCTCTCTAAAAAGTGTTATTTCTTACCATTGAACACCTACATAACTATGCTGGATTATCGTGTAATAACTGGATTATCGTGTAATAAGAGCTAGGATGATCGATGAGCATCTATAATTCGTCTTAGTGTTTAAGGAATGTCTTGTACTGCAACAGAAATAACTTAGCATTATTAGCGAGTTATAAGCTCAAAACCCTGGTGGAAGCCGCGAGATGAGGGTGACTATTAGGCATTCTAATTATTACCATGCTGTTTTGGAAGGTCTGCCTTCTTTTATTTCCATCACAGATTCAATAAAATAGTTTCGATAGACTTCAGCTTGGGCTTCTGTTTCTGGTTTTTAATTTTTGAGCTTTCCGCTCTTTGTACTTTTTATTTCCAAACTTTTTTCCTTGTTTGGAAGCAGGATTTAAAATGGTTTCCTTGCTAATTATTTTTGGTTTAGGTGTCTTCTGTATGCTACGAGATGTTTGGGTTCTTATTTACCGATGATTTGTTGGCTTCAGCACAAGAAATATTTCGTCGTGCTTCACCGGTGGTAAAGTTTCTTAGGTTCGGATAGATTTTTTTATAACTTTAATGTTGTTTTCTTTTCATTTAAAGCAGGTTTGCGAGTATTATGGATGGTCAGCCTGACAATTTACACATTCTGAATCAGCATTGCAGTACCAACTTTCATAACCAGTCATAGAACAATGAGTACAAGCTAGGATTCCGCGGCAGACATTTCTTTGTATAACCGTACCGTTGCATTGAAAACGGCGCAGTAGATTTGGCACATACGGTATGATAAAACAAGTCAAGCACCTCGCCTTAATAGACATCGGTGTCTAGAGATGAGAACGCCAAGATAATATACTTGGTGTTACCAATCCCTACACATTTTCATTCTGAGAGTCCCACAGATTTTTTTCGGTCAGATTTTTGAAAAGTTCATCCTCAGACATCAGGTCCATTTCTAAAATAACACCTCTGAACGTGTTCAAAGAATTATGTGGAAACACAAATAGAACGAGCGCCCATATTTGTCATTTTAGGAGAGAAGAGGATCAAGCGTCAGATAGTCTTGATTAGCAGATCCTTAACGAAGCTTCACGCTTTCTGGCTTGGCAGTTGAGACCACAATATACTTGGCGGAATGGTGATAGATATTTTAATTGAGCAGCGATGGCTGAGAACTTAAAACATTTCATTCTCACGCTAACAATGGCAGAAGTGCATATTCTTACTGATGCAGAATTAGTTTCCATGTGAATAAGAAATTTAAAATTGCCACATCATAAATAGAACAATTTCCGGTTCGACCATCCCACCAACCAGGGAGTCCAACCTAAGAACACAGATTCCCGCGTTATTGCTAGCCAGACCTATATGCAAACAGAAGACTTTTGCGAGAAGAAACCTGTGAAAGCTCATCTACCAGCCAATGACACGAAGGACAAATGAACAACCGATTGTAACACTAGTGGGAACAGCTAAATGCCTGCCTGGACCAAATATGCAAAACAGCGTGTTAAGGACAGCATCTCTCCCTTCAACTAACAGAAATGTCCTATCCAGAAGAGCATGTCTACGCACGACAGTTCACCGCGATGAAACAAAAGTTTCAATTGCACCTCGTAGTTAGACCCATCCTCTATAAGGGGACATCACACGGAGAAAGGGGGGAAGAATGAAAGACGAGAGGAAAGGCCATTGGAACTGCGGCTTTTTAACACCCGACCACCAAGATGACAATCCTCTGAAAGGTCTTCGCCTTACCATGCTTCATCTGAGCGTACCGGAATGGCTTCACGCCTAGAGAAGCCTTACTAGAATATAGACTCCGGACATACTTCACCCAGTGACACCCCCTGCCAAGGCGAGGCATGATAGGGCTTGGGCATTCTAAGATGATTGGGCTTCTATTTACATTACAAATAAGGGAAAAAACAGCCATGCAGGTTGAGAATAGCAGGTTAAAAAATAAGTTCGGGAAACATGAAAACTTTCACAAAAACTTATTGTGCATTCGAAATAACAGATTTCAGTAGCATCAGATATTTAATCTTTAAGAGTATAATTACTTTCTGTAAAGAAATTTAGAAAATTCATGCATCGTAAACCGGTAGTTCAGATTTTAATTAAACTTTTGTGCATACAAGTATTTCATTACTCACTAAAGCAAATTTTTAATTTAAAGAATTAAGTTTCGAGAATTTTTAGAATACTCACCAGACATTATGCAGGTCAACAAGAGCAAAAGATAATTTTGAGTGATTTCAAGAGCCGTCCAAAGCTGGAAAATAAAAGATTCTACACTCAAATGATATTCAACAAACTGTTTTGCATTCACCATAGGCAGTAGATTGAAATTAACATTTTACGTTTAGAATTCGAAATCGATAGTTTTAATTGAAAGAAATTAAGACCTATGCAAGACAAACACGATGGATTTAATCAGGTTTATGTGCAAATGCTGAAAGAAACGTTTGGCAGTTAATCATTGGCTTAGAGTCGCAAATGGTGTCGAATCCAAAAACGATTTCATCTTGGAATTTCTGTAGAGATACTTTATCAAAGGAATTTTTAGCTTCATCCTCTTTAGCAAAAACCTAATCTTGACGTTTTCTTTGTCGCAGAATGCAAGTAAGTTCTAGCTGTTATTTCTCAATGGGGTATAACTGCATTAGTGATTACGGCAAAGGACGAAGACTTTGCATCAGATAAGGTGCTTCGTGTAGGACATTCCAAAGGAGATTATAATCATATGCACGTTATATCAGTGTTGCCAGATCACGCGATATTTTGCAAATTTGCCGCTTTTGACAAACATTTGCGCCTAAAATTTGTATGTGATTTGTAGCGAAATGTTTGGTACTCTCAATTCTCTGTGCTACTTTGAGACAAAAACTTAATATATCGTTAAACGCTTATATGTTAAAATAATGTATTTGCTGAAATAAGTTTATAATAAAAAGTTGCGTAAACTTAAATAGGATATGGCGTCTGGCGATTCCAAGATCATAGAACAGCTGCAAACAGTTTTCAGTACCAGCGGCTGGCATTTTCACATTTTAATTTATTGATTTGTTAAAAGTCTGCGAATAAGTAATGCGGTTGCAGAAAGAATATTCTCAAACTCAAAAAGTCACTTCGCCCCCAAACAAAACATTGAAATAGAAAGTGCTTTGAACTCTTAGATTCCATACTTTGATGTCATTGGAACACTAGTTTTCCTCGTTAAAATTATGTAAAATATTAAATATCAAGAACAAAGGATAACTTGTATTTAGCATACACGTCAATCTTTCCCATGCTAAAAACTGCTTAGGAAGGGGAGAGTATGTACATAAATGTTTTCATACATGCAATTTCAAAAATTCATATTAAAAATATTGTAAATAAATCTAATGTATGCATTTTCAAAATAAATATTGTTAAAACCAATGTGTACTCGTGTTATTTTGCGTTGTGTAAAGAGCAATTTTTCTTCCAACGCAAAGAGCAAAGAGTATTGTATCGCTGAGAGATAGAATTTCTTAAAACAATAGCAATGAAAAAATATTGTAAAAGTGTAAAACAGTTATGCACCTTAATACTAATATTTACAAAATGTTTTTCAAGCCAGCTTTTCCCTTAATACTATGGTGATAAGGAAACTATTTGTGGCTTGAGCACAACACAGAATTCAAACGGAAAGAAATGAAATTCATTATCCTGATAACATTGCTTAGAACTAAACAATCGAGGTCACTTAAAGCAAAATCAGTTTCTAAACACAGAAAGCTAAGGATTAAAGGACGTGGATTTTATTAGTAATCTGAATCTTGTAAGGCTAAATAACTCAGCCAAGCAAACTCCACTGAAAAACATTAACAGTTAAAATAAAGCAGAAAGTGAATTAGAAAAATTAACTACCATCTCAAATTACACTGGTGTGCAAAAATTAAGGACGAAGTCGAAAAATTAGCATATCAGTTGAACGAAGAGGCAGAGCGGTCAGAAAGACCAATCAGGAGATTAAGTAAGGTGATGTACGGTAGCACATGCGCAGATATGCAGGTAGACGTAATGGGGGAGTGTCTGAGTAATATAAAGCATGTTGTCGTGTAGATCAGTATTTCTGGAAAAGAGATGCACTCCGTATAGCAGTTAAAATCACACCGAGTGCTGCCTCAGCGAGAAATGGCGAATAATCAATCTGTTAGACGACATCTGGATGCTTTTACCAGAGGTCGAATCATTGGGAAGTTGGAGGAAGGCCTCAGTGTGACAAGTGTGGCTGCAGAGTTCGGAATTGCTCACAGCATCGTTTCACGACTTGAGACAATTTCAAACTACAGGAACTGCTATCCGGGGGCTTAGTAGTGGTCGTCCACGAGGAACCACACCCGCAGATGACCGGTATATTGCCTTACAGGCCAGAAGAAACAGGCGGCAGACAGCGGAGAAATCGCTAGACACACGACACAGGCGACTGGACGACCGATATCGCGTTTTACCGTGGCCAGAAGACTGCACGGTGATCGTCTGTTTGCACGACGCCCTGTACGGTGTACCTCTAACGCCTGCCCATCGGAGAAGGCGTTCTCTGTGGCGCCGGGAACACCGGAATTGGGGAGACAATGAATGGGGACGAGTACTCTTTACAGATGAGCAGATTCAGTCTGAGTAGCGATTCTCATCGCATACTCATCTGGAGAGAGCGGGGAAGCCGCAATCATCCCTCGAACATCATTGAAAGGGACAGGTATAGAGGTGGCGGTGTTCTGGTTTGGGTGGCATGCTTGGTAGTCGGACAGACCTTGACATCTTCGACGCAGGTTCAGTCAACAGGACCCGTTATTGTAACGAGATTCTTCCATATGTGAGTCTTTTTAGAGGCGCTATGGGTCCGCAGTTCCTTTTCATGGACGACAGTGCACCATGTCATCGCACAGTAGTTGCCGAACAGCTCTTAGAGAGTGAGGATATTGAACTTATGGATTGGCCGGCACGATCTCCGGATCTCAATCCCATCGAGCATGTACGAGATTTTCTAGGCAGACGCTTGGCAGCTCGCACCTTACCACCAGTAACGATTCCGCAGCTTCGATTGGCGCTGCAAGACGAATGGCAGCAATGCCTCAAGAACTCATTGACACCCTCATTCTCGCATGGCAAACGCTGGAAACCTGCCTAGCAGTCAGGGGAGATCATATCCCTATTAAAGACCGGATGTTCTTGCGGACACCCATCACAGGGATGTTTCGGCCTTCAGTCGCATTGCACTCCATTCTACTTTTTCAATAAAGCTTTTTATCCCTCTGATCTCTTTTAGTAAGTGTTGCTTACATTACTCATGTCCTTACGTATTGGGGATCTTACGGTATTAAATGTGTTGATTTGGAAAGCTTTTGTACAAAGTTATATTGAAAAAAACGTCTCGTCCTTAATTTTTGCACACCAGTGTAGTACAAAAGAGCTAACAATCCAAATGGGAGGAAGCACTTAACCCTGAAATGTATGTAGTGGCCATTTAGAGACACTCATATTTAATTATGTAAATCAAAACACAAATTTTAGCTTACTGCATAGTGTAATGAATTCGATACATACCGTTTATGTATAGTTTTGAAAGTTTCAGTGTGGTGCAACAGTCATTGTGAGTTGATGTGTAGGGTGAGCACATCATTTGTGTTTACGAACTTTTGATTGTGTTTTTATTCAAAGTTTTAAAATTGAACAAGTTTATAAGGTATGTATTATTATTATGTAAAAATTATTATACATTTACCCGTCTTATGTTTTTTGCAAGTTAATTTTACCGAAATTGGAATACTAAAAAAGATCTATTTTATTTGATATCAATTCTAATGCAATTTTGACTTTCTTTACTTTAAAAATAAAAATTCATGCAGAAAAATGAATGCTTAAACAACGGATAATTAGCAATAGTTTTAAAATTTTCTTCAAAACTAAGATATGCAACTGAAATGATTAATAACTGAATTAGTCCTAACATAAGGAACCAATGGAGACTGAACTTGATGACATAAGAAATGATGTGCTACTTCGAGATTTTTCAATTCTTTTCCTGCTAATTTAGATTAAATATTTCTGACAACACTTACGTATGTGAGAGAGTTTGTTGATTGGGGAATGAACTTAGGATTAAATACCGAATTCCCGATTAAACGAACTCTAAGAGCCCGTGTAAAGAAAATTATTGCAGTTTAAGACTATAAATCTACACATTTTCTGAAGATAACTTTTACATATATACACCAGAAAGCCAAACACTGGGAACAAAACTCATTTCATTTTTATGTGAAACAGCTAAATAAACTATATGAAATCAGTACAAAAGATTCTTACTTGGCATTTACTGATGTCCATGCCTGGAACTTTTACATCAACAGGGAACCGAATTGCAGTGCCTCTCTTAGACTGAAAGTAATATGAAAGCTATAAGTTATAAGAAACTACTCACCACGAAAAATTAAATTTACTGTTACAGATAAAAATTAAATGCGATGCGAATTAAGTTAATTTTTTAAAGTTTACATTAATCATAGTAATAATTTTCTTGATTTAAGAAATTCGCTAGAAACAAGCATGCAGTCAACTCGATGGCAAGGCAAATGGTCCATTTACACGCATTTGCTGCTTTGAAATATACAGCTGTAGTAAAAAGGGTAGAGTTCCGAAACTCGCATCTTAAATTTTCTTAATAAGAAACGTGATTTTCTCAAATATTTCAGATATTAAATTCATTACACATTTCTTCCAGCATTTAGTTATTTGTCAATTTCTAAAGCAATATTTTTAAAGATACTGTTATTTCTACGATTACAGTTAGTGGAATTTGTCGACAGGAATTAAACACCTAATTACGCAATACTACAACAGCTTTCTAACAATTATTTCAAAACAAGAACTCGAGAGCTGTAGCTTGAGGAGAGAAATTTACCGATTTCGCTCAAATGCATGTCGCATGAACAAAAAACGAAAATATCCAAGTAGCCAATTTTAGCGATTTGGTTCTCGTACTACCTTTCTTCAGGCGTTGTATCATTTCCAGTGGGAAAACAATGAAAGAATGCCTCCTCTTAAAACTAAAATTACGCCAGATTGCTTTCAATAAACTGATTGGAATCAAATGCCAAAAAATTATATTTGAGTTTTCTTGAGGAAATCGTTATTACATGCATAATCGTTGAACTAACCATGCCATTTGCATCTTGCCATACAAGTAAACTCGACAGAAATTTAAGTAACAGGCTTGGAAACTGAACATACCCAATCGCAATAGAATTTCAACTTTTCAACTTTTGTATTCTCAAGGAATTCTCTAAAATGATATGCACCTGAAAGATTCAGAAAATTGAAATTATATCTATGAAATAACTAATTTTGTTAGAGCGTTTCATTTATCACTTTAATGTGTACAATTCTGTAAAACAGGACCGTTTAAAATATTGGGGTTTATATAAGGTCAAGTAGACAGACAAGATTACTTATCTCAATGTTAGAGTTTAATGACAACACTTCATTTTCAAGAGAGAAAACCGAAAAGAGCTTTGGAGCAGAGACTGAGCCAGTGACGTCAAAGATTTCCGATTGGGAAGAACAAAATTTGTGGTACAGTAATCTTAGGTACGTATGCGGTCACAGGCCGATTTATACTTCCAATTTTTAAAAACTGGATTTCAACCACGAAAATGTCATCCAGCCGCCTGTTGAAATTACTGCTTGTACTAAACATTTTAGTTCATTCGGCCAAAAGTTCCAAAACGGCTGGTAAAATTATTGGTTGACTGATAAAAGCAAAAGAGGAATGCTATCTGCCTAGGAGAGATGTCTTCGGGGAGAACTTGAGAGTATCAAGGGCAATAAAACTAGCCCGTTCGCAGAGATTTCAAACTCGATCGAACTAACTTATTTTTAAGAGTTCAACGCAAATAATTTGCCTTCAAAATATTAAGGGGATATATCTCGTTCACGAATAGCTATATTTTCTTGCAATGTGAATGTTTACCCCATGTTTGATTTTCATCTATGAAAAATATTCAATAAGCAGAATTCACTGTTCAATTTTTCTGTAATGGTGATCTTTTTTCTGACGCATAAGCTTGAAATATTAAGTTAGGTGCATATGTAATGAGACATTAAAAACCTGCTAAAAGCAATAAAACAAAATTAACTATATTAAAGTTTAAAATTAATCAGTTAAATTCAAACATCTTTCAAGAGATAAAATATTCTCAATACAAATTTCCCGCCAGGAAGGATTACAATATGTACACGAAGGCAATTAAAAACACAATAGCTAGTTAATATGTGGTGTATAGGCAAATCCTGAAATATATGGACTGTCTCCTAATTAATGTCAAGTTATTTGATGTAGCAAAGCTCAAGAGCTATTAGAGTACGGTGAGAGATGTGAGATTTATTATGAACCTAACTCTAATTAGATTATGTTTTCATGGAGTATTTCCTCAGAAAAACTGGCTCATTAACGTTATACAAAGGCTGTTGGCACATTTTTTAGACTATTTTGCTTTTCTATAAAAGAGTCCTGTGTGCTTGGAAATTTGTTTTCACTGCATATATATTTTTGAAAGCATAAATTATGGTCTACTTACCAGTCTAGTTTTCATGCAAAATATCGCTTTTAAAAACCTAATGAATGGAAGGCTACGTTTGTCCTTTCCGAAGAACTTCATCCGTACCTAGTTATTAAAAACGTTGTAAAGGTCGTGGTTTTCAGATATCTAAAGCTACGATAGGTATTATCAACAAGGGAAAAAAGGATCAAAATTGAGCTTCAAGTGGAAAATTTGTTCCAAATACGTATCGAAGAAAAAATGGAATCTTTCGAATGTTACAAATGCAAGATCTTTAATGTTGAAAGAAAATCCGTCAAGTCAAAGCACGGTTGCAAAATCATTAAAATGCTCAGTTTCAACTGTAAACAAAACTATTAGTGCTGATTTAAATCTTATAAAGGCGAAAAACAAAGCGCATCGTCCTTCAAGGACATATCGCCGAACGCAGTGCAATATTCTTCATGAGAAACATTTATCTGGACAAACATGGAAAAGTACTGTCACAATAAACGAGTCTTGGGTGTACTTAACTTCAATAAAAAGATCCATTTATTATAAAAAAGGAGAAAAAATCGTAAAACGTAGTTCAAGGAATCTAAAGAAAGTTTCCTAAGAGATTTACGATTATTGCTAGTTTTTCATATAACGAAAAACTTAAGAGCGGAGAAAAATGTTAATATCAATTCCACATATCGTCAAAAACATTATACCCAAATTACAAATATGAAATACGTTCTTTACACAGCGTGATCAATTAGAACTTCCTCAAGACAGCAAACAGCGACATGTCAAAGTCTACTGCTCATTTTCTATGGAAAAAGAAACGGGCATCAAGGCCATATCTTCTACTCGTTCTTCTGATCTATCAGCAATGTATTTTTGGACTTGTAAAAAGCAGGTTGTGCAAACGTGGAATTAAGACCACCTTAGACTTTGCAAAGCTGTTCGACAGCAATGGGATAAAATAACTCTTCCAATACTAAAAAAAGCTTCATTGTCTTTGAAATTACGGTGTATAAAGATGAAGAATAAGGGTTATAAAATAAAACATTTAAAACAAAATTTTTAGGTAAAATATTTGTGCAATTACAATGAAAATAGTCTAAAAAGTGTTCGAACAGCTTCTGTACATGGGAAGAACTACAAAAACCAACCATGAATCGACTCTCACCTGAGCTTGAACCGGGTTGGACTACTACTGTTCAGCAATCTTAACCACTGGAAGGCCGCGATTAACTACATACAATATCCAATAATTTTCAAAGAAAAGTAACTACAGAGTGAAGTCAAGCAATAAGTTTAGAAATTGGGACAATAAATATTTTTCCTGAAAGAAGATAGGCAGAATTTTAAATTTAATTTCAAAACTGATTAATATATCAAGTGTGAGTTTACCTTGGTAAGGTAGGCGAAGTGTTTCAAATTCTTCGTAAAGATGCAGGTAATGATTTTCTGGAGCAGAAGCACTAAAAAGAAGCGAGATTAGAATTTCAGCATTTTATTTTTCACAAATTAAAAAAGTCAGAGAAACTTACTTTTCATCGCTTTTCATAACTTCGCCTATGTTTCTGAAATCGCAAATATAGCCTACGCCAAAGTCCTTCAGGAGCTTTACATCTCTCTTCATTTCTTCTTGGAATTTAACAGACCTGAAGAAAATTCCATTCGATTCACAAAATTGCATTATAGGAAGTGTAACAACGCAAGATCAGCGATAAATTTGGCATACAAGAGATCTAAACTCAAACGGCTAGTAAGCATTGATAAAGTAACAAATTCTCTCCAAAATGTTAATGATTTCATAATTGTATTCATTTATATCAACATTGAATTCATTAAAATCACCATGGAACTTTTAAGATAGTTATGAAAAATTTCAAGCATTTATTAAAATTAGCAGTTAGAGGAACCAATTACATAGCTCTACAAGTTAAAACCACATATATACTATATTGAAGAACTCATTGCCACCTCAGTTCTAATCGAGCATTTACCAGCACATTTGGAAAAGGGCAGGGTTGTATTAAATATGAAATTACTTCTTGAGTTACATCAGAATTCGTAAAACTGAAGACATTCTTCTACTTGCAGAAGTTCTTTCTTGCTAAAAATAGAGAGATTTAAAACCTGTGGCATGCACTAACGTTCATTCACATGTACTGATACAGGCACTAGTTTTGATTCAATAAAGAAACAGTAATCTCTTTCTTAAGTATTCGCTCGAAGCTTAATACCGCCGCGGAAATATTTACTGATTTTCAATTAGATCATGAAATTGATTCATTTCTCTTACTGCAAACCGTTACAGGACATCTCAGAATGTAAGAAAGCCGGAATTCTAATATTAATTTGTTCAGGAAAAAATCATGTCTGCATTGAATTCACGTTTTTAACGGATTGATTAATTAGAATATCGCAAAGTACAGTAGGGCTTTCTGCGCAAAGGAGGAGATAGCTTTCATGGAAGAGATAATCATATTTACGCTAGCTTGTATAAAAGGGGAAAACTTCCAACCGCAAACGGTTGGCAACCGTTGCTTGGACTCGCAGCTGGCTTGAACTAGCATTGTTCAGGGATTTTATTTGCTCGGCTGCTGGCTGGCAGCTATATGGAACGACATCTAACTACATTCAGTTTAATACCGTTTGCTAGTATTTTAGCCTAGGTGGAACTATGTTCGACTAACTAATCTATCTAACGACATCTAACTAGTAAAGGGCACCTAGGTGGAACGACATTAACTACATTCTAGTTTAATTTAGAGGAAGCTGATAAACACAGCTCGTGTTTTGAGCCTCCAAAATCAGAACCGGAACAATTTGTACTAGCAGACAGTCAACCGACGGAGGTTAAAACTAATCAAGAATACAGAACTTAACTTACATTAATATGTACACTGCAGTGTTTATATTCATCTCGTAGTCCGAGAAAGTAACCCATCTGCAAAAGACATTTTGATAAAGGTAAATTTAAGATATTTACACAAGTTGGAACACAGAATTCTAGTTAGATTGTAATATTAGATTAGCTCCTTGAATTAAACCATTTTGTAAACACTTAATTCAAAGTGCACTTTCTAAAAACGTCATAATTTATGAAAATTCAAGAATTTTAATTTTTCGCTTGTTCCATTCAAAGCTTCGATATAATCTTTGATATTACATTACTTTGCTGAAATTTATTTCTTTAAATCTAATAAAGAGTTTGTAGGATTTTAATTTAGCTCCTGGGGTTGTATGCAGCTATTCTGGCACATTACATAACAGACTAAATTGCAAAACTTCAACAGCGTTTATTAGGTTTTCTAATAAATAACCTTTGCTTTCTTCAAGGTTTTCAGTACTGCTTTAGAGAGAGTTGTAAATGTTAATTCATTTTACGCCTGACGCAAGAAATTCAAATTCTATTACGGCACTATCATGTATGTTAAAGCCATTTTACCATCCTCATCCTGTTTAACAACTAGCATTAGATTCATTCTGGAGCTCTTTTCTCTAGTTTTGAAACAAGTTTAGTATGCCGCCCCATTCGATATGGTGATTAGCGGTGTTGGTTGCCACGGGATGGGTACAGGATCAAATCCCTGAAATCGACTTTCAGCAGTACTACCTGGTCGACGCCCATAAGCATACATGGAGTCATTTTAATTTCAGTTCATAAGAGCAGGTAAGTTTATTTTCTGTATTTGAATATCGGTAATGTTCTTAAAACTGCTGGCGTGTAATCTGTATAAAAAGAACTGAAATTTTCCGATACTACGGAAGGATTTAATTTACACCGGTGAAGTACTTCCATTTAAGGTAATGGGGGATACCTCATAATATCCGAATTCTGTTTAAACATGCAAGGATGTTAAATGACCGACAAGTTTGTCAATTCTCGACCAATGTTTAATGAGCAAATGTCAGGTTACTGAAAACCTGCACCATCATTAACGCAAAACGGGCAGAACTGATATCATTTCAAAATATCACTAGTTTCCAGAAGGATTTTTGTTTGCAATTCGACTTCATTAGTTAAGACATTTTAAATGATCTATACTCAGAACGGCAAAATTTTCCTCAGGAAGCAGATTGAAAATTGAATATAGCTTATAACTGAACTTTTAAAAAAGGGTATGCAGTTTAGAGAAAAGCACTGGACAGCTGTTCTCGTGAAGGAAAGCTGCCTGATAATGACACATTTTGAGACACTTCGAGTTGGTTTTTTTGAATGGAATAAAACCTCGAGGGTTATTATGAATCAGACAAATGGTGAGCAAAATTCAAGATACATAAACAAGTATCAAGTTAATTGATGAAGTGAACGTGAAATACTGATGAAGGCATGGAGAAATGACTGAAAAATGCTCTAGCAACAGATAGAGCAGGATAAAATGTAGTTCAAATCATATGGTAAAAGGAGATATCTTAAAAAACTTAAGAGGTTGATGCGAGGGTTTCTTCCAATGAGATCTGTTAACATTCGTAAAGTTAAAATAAAATTCACGTTTCTGACTAAAAGCAAGACAGCAGGTTAAAATGTGATTGACTGAAACGGGAACGTTGCAAGTGCCACAAATATGCTCATTGTGTCCTTTCAATAGGTACTGATGTGGTCAGTCTGCAAATACCAATTCGTAAGCGAGTCAGTACTACATCCTCCTTCAGATTCCCTCTCGACTCTCAGTACTTAAATTAGGTTTTACCTGCCTTAATTTGTTCCGAGTTTGGCATTCCCAGAATTCTTGCCACTTGAACAAAAGACACTTCAAGTAGTTTTATACAATAAGAAGACAATGTTTGAGCTAAACTTGCTAAGTAATGTTCAGTGGTCTTATGATTATTACAACCACATAGTCGTTAGAATGTTAAATTGCCATGCAACTAGGTAAACTGATCATAAGCATGCATGGAGTCATTTTAATTTCAGTTCATAAGAGCAGGTAAGTTTATTTTCTGTATTTGAATATCGGTAATGTTCTTAAAACTGCTGGCGTGTAATCTGTATATAAAGAACTGAAATCTTCCGATACTAAGGAGGGATTTAATTTACACCGGTGAAGTACTTCCATTTAAGGTAATGGGAGATCTCAATATCCGAATTCTGTTTAAACATGCAAAAATGCACTTAGTGTATTAATGATTTAATATATGCTACAAAACATTTAAGTAATTTCATTTGATACGATTTCATTGTTTTGGGATATGCAATTACAAAAATAAAGGTACTAAAGTGAGTATGCTTACTTTCCTCTTCCAAAATTATGATGCCATGCTTTTGTCACTTTGTCTTGCAGTGCTGCAGAACGGCAGACATACTAAAATTAAAAAGAAAGTTAACTTATTGTGCCAAAGTATGAAAAGGCTTCTTGCCCTTCAGAAGATCTTTCTAAAGGGCATTCCAATGGAAACTCATTGGTTTTACACTTTACAGTCCGCTCGCTGGGATCTGAACATAACTGCTAATGAATAAACTCATGCACTCGTTTACAGGTAGATCAGAAACTAAACATAGGATCCGTTTCGCAACTTAAGCTATAGATTAGTTTGGTTTATCAGATTACGGCAAAGCACTCGAGGACTATCTGCCTTAAGGGAGGGATGCCTTCGTGGAGGACTTTTTAAGGGAAACTGGCTCGCATACACGTTACACATGGGGAAAACCACGAAAACACCCATGCAGCCAGCCCGTTCGCGGGATTCGAACCTCGGACCGAACTACTAGTGTTCAGCGACGTTACCGCTCGGCCGCTGGTGGGCCTAGCTATATATTGGAAATTTAAGTACTTAAACGTTTACGGTCTTATGCAGCAGATAAAAATTTCTATATTCAACTGTTACCAAGAACTAAGCAATACTCAAAACCCTCAGTATGCAGCGATATTCAAATGACTATTAGACTAAGCAAGCTGTGTAATAATGCAGCTTGTTACAAGCCACATTCAAGTGTTAAAACTACGTTATTCTGTTTAGAAATTTCCTCGCTGATCTTTTTTCACTCTGGCAGCCTCGACTTGGTGCCAGATAGAAGGCACGATCTATGTTTTCTTGACTACGGATTTTATCTCCGCGAGAACCATACGAGTAACGGTATTTTATGAAACTAGGCATGGCAGAGATTGAGAGAATAGGAATTCTAATCAGGATTACGTTACATGTGTAATACTAAAGAATGGAATTAAGGAGAACTGTTAACTCATTACATCAAAGTACAAGAAAGCTTTAATGATGCTTTCATGCAAGATTTTGTAGGGAAAACTGACGCATTTACCTTACACATCGGAAATACGATTGAGAGACACTTTTTGAAGACGGAGAGGTGTTTAATTATGCCAACATAGTCATATTTAAAATCTTGACAATTATTTCCCTTTCTCCGGCTATAACCGTTTCAACAAATTGAAGAAAAATTGCAGAGGCAAAATTTGGAACACCTCACGTGTCTAGAAGAGCATCAGCAGCTAAACAACGAAAAGGTTGAAATATACCAGACACAGCAGTAGCACTATTTTTAGGAATAGAAACCACTTCGATAAAAGTGCATTGACAGCAAAGGGGAATATTCTGAAGGCGATCATATTGATACACATGAATGAAGTCAAAAAGCTATGTACTGTCACGATATACATTTCCCACTCATTGCTGCCAACTTGTATAAGATCTCACGAGTGGATACTCGAAATATATACGGAAGTGAAAAAATTTGTACTGAAAGAGAATGAAGATGCTAGTTCATACATGAGGTTGTGGTATTCTTACCGACATATATTTAGAAATTAAAGCCATAAAAATGACAAATGCTGGAACACATTCATAAAATGAACAAAGAATAGTTGACAGTAAATAAAATTTTAATATAGAATTCGCGTATTAAAACAGAATTTAGATCTAGGACCTAAGGGAAGGGGCGCCTTCGAGGAAGCATATATAAGGGAAACTTTCATTTTGTAAGGTTATGCATATTCAAAACCAGCCATGCAGCCAAAATGTGCACCTGGGTTTGAACCCAGAGTGAGACTAGCAATATCCAATGATCTTAACCATTCATCCATTGTGATTCAGACAATGGCCAATTCCGTATTGATTTATGAGACAAGGCCACATTAACCTTGTCTGATAAATCAATACAGAATGATAAAAGCATATTACTCCTAAACTAGAAAATTTTCCATTTAACTGAGAGTGAAGTAATGAGTATTAAAGTACTAGATAAATTTTTGAAGATACGAAACTGAAATAAGAGACATGTCCGGACATGCTATTTTGCGGTTATAAAAATGTATTGGGAATAATTAGCTGTATTTTTAGCAGTTAAAACTGGCAAATTTGCGAGTTGAGTAAATTAAGTCAATTTGGAATAAAAAGAGCATCAATAACATAAGCATAATTATAAACGAAGAAACCAAGTTATAAAAATGGTTTTAAAGAATAATAGTCATAAGAAATCAATGTTATCGAATTCAGTCTGGCATAAAATAAGATTTTTTGGCAAAATTCACCTCATGGATAAAGTTTACTATAACTGCTATTAACGAACGCGTTTTGCTCTTGGTAGACAATTTTGCTTTCCGCAGATGATGTGTCAGCAATTTCGCAATAAACTATTTTAGAGAAAATTTAATGCACCATTTGGATAATCGGAATTGCACTACACTAAGAAACAGTTATCGATGATCTAATAGTAATTTTTTGTTCCATTCAATAAAATATTCACTTTCTTTTCAATTTCACATGTGGTCCAAAATTTGAAACTTGTCTCCGAAAACGGGTCTCAAATTCCAAAAATGTGCGAAAATCGAGTTTCTATCCGTTTTCCAGTATAAGAAGCAGTATTTCGCAGTTTAATGTGTTAAATTATGATCAACACCCCGTATGATCACGCAGCGATTTAGCGATTTTCTATACTACCACTAGCAGGGACACAACATGCATGACAACGTCTGGGCCAGGTTCGGTAAGTGGCCCGTTTATTTGCTAAGGTAAGCCTCCGATGCAACTGTCCGAAGACAAATTTTCTATATTTCAGAAAACTACTGATTAGCAATTTTAGTGAATATAACATTTTTGAGGGAAGATCAGTATCGTGTTTAAACCATCGTTTCCCCGACCACTTAAAGGCTTATTTTTCTGCTTCTGAGGATTTTGCTCAAGGTCTGCTTATCTTTGTAATGATACAACTTTTTTTTAGCGTCACCTATGAACTCCGACTTGGAAACAAAAACTGACTCATTTAATAACACTTGCATTACAATTTAATTGAAACTCTTAACGCAATAAGGAAGCAATAAGAATTAGATTTGTCAAAACATTTGTAGTATTGCAGAGTAGTTGTACACCTACGTTGCATGCAGACTTCTGCCATAACACGTTCGTAGGAGTATATGTTGAAAGACGTTACTTCGGCACACTATATCACTGCAATACCGATTTGTTACGTGTTAAGAGTTAATATCCATTAGAAAGAAAAATGAAACTACATGCAACTTGAGCGAGATTATATGAAGGATCTACAGAAAATTTGTAAGATTAAGATACGAGTGCGACAGCGTGTGCATCAAATCAAATTCGATTCACGACATAAGATTCTCGTTTCATACTTAAGATATCGATTTTCTTTGATAATATTTTGTTCCATGAATTGAAGTTCTCACCTCGAAAAATGAAGCGTGTCTTGAGATGTCATATTCAGTAAAGTTAACTTCCAATTACCCAATTCTCGCATTCATTTGTATAAAAAGGTTCATATTTAAAAAATTCTCAGGTTGGTGAAGATATTAAATTTAAACGATCGTGAGAGCTTATACTCCCATTAATAGGAGAACAAAAAATTCCGAATTCATAAATTTCTTACAAGTAAGCAGATTTTATGCTGATTTAAAACATGAATTAGCATTTGTATTGATTTTAAAAAGATTAATTATGATTACATATGGAATCCACCTACACCGAAATCAAATTACTGGATATTAATAATCAGCACCGAGTACTAGATGCGCATATTTTAATCTCACTGAAATTTTCCACGTAATTTCATTATCTTATATTTAAAATTCGTAGGATGTGGTGGAAAATATTGAAGTAGATTAACTTACCTTCCCTTGACAAAGGATTACAGGCAAAGGAAATCTCTTCTTGCGCCTAACGAGACGACAATCTTTAACCTCTTTAGCCCATTCTTCGCCATTAAAGTCGGATAACCTGAAATTACGAGCATAAATTAGTTCAGCAATGAGCGATTTGCCTCACCACCTTTTTCATTTACTATAAAATCTGGCAGGAAATGGTTCCAAGGCAATTTCAGTGCTATTCAGAGCCTCATGGCAATATCAGTGGCACAAGTTACTTGCCAAATAAAACATATCGATGACTACAGAAAGGCTCATACGAACTGTTCCTCAGAAATTTCTGAAGATTTTCTAATAAAGATTAGAACAGTCATTTTACATATAAGAAAATCACGAAATGCCATGCAGCCAGCCCATTAAATGGGTCGAAACTCAGGTTCTAGCAGGATTACTTCCAAAAGGTTAAGCCTTACATTGGATCATAACAGAACTATATATAATCAAACAGACGCCATTTTGGGGAAATATGTTAACTCGGACATTTGAAAAGAATGTTTATTACGTGCTAGGCTATTAAGCACTACACACATGGAAAGGGAAGGCTTAGGGAAACTGGCTCGAGTCCACGTTACACAGGCGGAAAACCATGAAAATGTCCATGGAGCCAATCAGTTTCCCAGACCTCTAATCTCGGATCGAGCTACCGGTGTCCAGCGGGTTTTACCGTTTGGCCGCTGGTGGCCCAAGAAGAAATAATTTAACATTATTCTTCAAATGTGCTAAAGACTAATACGCTTCTCAACACACGAGAACACTGCTTCGAAAATTGTCAGTGCCGCCAGTGAAATTTGGCAAAGAAATGATGTTCGTAGACTGTCCAGAGCCTCGGATGTCGGTTTATAAACAATTTCTTGCTAGTATTAATTTTTCTAGATGTGAAATACATTAACTGTTATACAGAGATAAACAAATGAGATGTCACTTCTGTACAATGGAAAAGCTATTAGAAAACAGTCTTTCATTTGAAGTTAACCGTTTCATTACGAGTCAAGTGATGTTAAGCTTTTGTTGCTCTGGTGCCTATAAAACTTTTAGGCTGTCCCAAAATCCTAGTGCCTGGTGCAGAAGCACTGGTTGAGCTGGCTCGTGCGTCTACGTAGGGTACATTCGATTTTTACCAAGCTGGAAAAGTATTTTATTGTACGTGGAATGATTGGCAGAGTTTTAAGGTCTATCTAAATTAGAGATAAATAGCAGCTTATCAGATCGGTGAGCAAATGTAAACAACGTTTAGGCAAAACTAAACTACATATTTTGACAATCATGCAAGTCCCTCCCCTTCAGAACGAATTTTGCTAAATTTTTTCCTGCTAAACAGGTGTCTGGTAATTCTCAAAAAACGGTAATTTTGTTCAAAATCTGCGCAAAATTAAGGTTGCCGTTCCGCCTAATTCAGTTTTACGAGGGCTATCCAGAAAGTAGATTACGTTTTGGAATAAAAAAATAAAGTATAGGAAACAAATTTTATTATATACAGATGAAAGCCACACTCAAATACTACTTTTCTACATAGTCACCATACAAATTAAGGCATTTATCGTAGCGATGTACGAGCTTGGAAATTCCTTCGTCGAAAAATTCGGCCCGCCTGCGCCTTCAACCACTTCGTTACCTCTTCTTGCAGCTGGCGTCGTCATCAAAACGCTGCATAGCCAGCCACTTCTTCATTGCTGGGAATAGGTGGAAGTCGCTCGGTGCCAGGTCGGGACTGTACGAGTAAAGAGTCACCATCCTTATGGTAAGCGTCCAAAAAGTTCAACGCTGCAGCCATTCGCTGATTTTTGTGGTCCTCTGTCAAGATTTTTGGAATCCATCTTGCACAAAACTTGTAACCAAGCTTTTCGCTGATGATTTCGTGCAACAAACTTCGCGAAATTTGTGGAAAACTCAAAGAAAGTTCCGTTATTGTGAAATTTCGATTTTCACGGACTTTAGCATCGACTTTTTCGAGAAGTTCGGCGGTCACTATGCTGGGTCTCCCACTTCGATCTTCGTCGTGAACATTGGTTCGGCCATTTTGAAACCTTATGACCCACTGACGCACTCCACCTTCAGTGATAATGTTGTCCCCATACACTTCACGAAGCTGCCGATAGATTCTATCGGTTTACAGTTTTTTGCAGTCAGAAACCTTATTACTGAGCGCACCTCGCAGCTCGCGGGATTTTTCAATTAACGCAGACATTTCAAACCGTCACAGTATCTGAACGGAGCAGCACGAACCTCTCACTAGCACGGCTAGATGCAGACTGAGCTGCGCAACGCTCTGACCCCAAGATGGCCGCGCTAGCCCCGCCCCTAGCGGACACAGACGGAAACGTAATCTACTTCCTGGATTGGCGTGTTTCTTTCCAAATTTCAATGATAAACTAAATAAAAGCTCAAGCACAATGAGTCTACAAGATTTCAGTAATTTTACGAATTCCAACAAAACAGTAAATAATTGACAGTTTTTCTCACTATACTAGCGGGCTGCAGCTAAAGCAAAATTTATACAAGTTCTATTCCATAAAAAATTTTACTCTACCTCTATTTAGAAAAGATGTATAACAATTTTAAAATTCCATCTCGTACGCGCTTCGACACTGCACGCCGAGCAGCAACGAAGATCAGCAAAAAAAGCAACTTGCAGGGTGTGAAAACTAACTTTTCCAGAGTTTTTCAATTTATATTTCGGGTGATTAAAATTTAAAATGAGATTGGTCGAAATAGTTTCTCACTGACTTTTTGGAATCCGGAGGCGTACCTCTCTCGAAACTCAATTCCCCGCCGTTCCGGAGGAGATGTTACAACTGTTTTCGTGAAATATCGCCTGCTTACGGGCAGAGTTTTCTATGCTGTTAATAGTTTGCTTTGATCCACAGTATATTTGCTGTGCAAATATACTGTGGATAAAATCAAATTATTCACTAATTAAGTATTATCAACTATTATTAACAAATTAAGCAAACTATTAATATACAGGCTGAGCAAATACCTGTCCGGTAAAACGAATATAATTAGCAGTTCAGATACCTTAAATATTACGTAAAGCATGAGGATAAAGCAATATACAGTTCAATGGTTTTTAGACGATTTCATGGACGCAATAGATAAACCCAAATGTGCGCTTTGCAGTCTTGAATAAAGATATAAACAACAACTGTCGAAAAATTATTACTCTTTTCTATAAATGATAGTCTGAGTTTACGTCAGTAGACACTGCTCAAAAAATTATCATGCAAGAACGTAAAAATTTCTCATTTTGTTTCTCGTACATTGACTGCAAAACGAACACTGAATTTTTGCATGTGAAGATTTCATTCAACAAACAATCTTGATATTTTCAAGCAAATTGTGCCAGGTTATATTTAATACTTTGCTTATAATCGCGAGTAAGAAGTCAAACATTTATCATAGTTGCAGTTGGTCCACCACGCTTCTCAAACTTCGGTCTAAGACATATGAAACACCATGCCTGGTGACTTTTCCGAACGAGAATTTATTTCAGAGGTATAGAAAGTACTGTTTTATAAAGACGTACTGAAGGGTCTTCTGAAGAGAATTAATGGCGCTATGCCTAAAAAGTTTGGATTATTTGAATATGGCAAAGCACACGCGGGTTATCTGTTAAAAGGTAGGGATGTCTTCATGGAGAACTTTCTAAAGGAAACTAGCTCGTATTCACGCTACACACTGAAAAACTGCCAACCACATGTAGCCAGCCCATTCACCTGAGCTCGAATCCTGTCTGAATTACATCTGTATTCAATTATTCTGTCAGTTATATTTATATATTCTCATTTATATCTGGGAAAGAAAATTCTGTTATATCCATTTTAAAATAAGTGTTGCTGAAATTTTATCAAACACCGATTCCTTTCTTCGGTTGAGATGTTTCATGTACCCTTAAGATAACAAATGTGAAACAGTCACAAAAGTCTGCGTACAGACTAAATTTTAAGTTAAAAAAACACTTAAAGCATAGAAAAAATGTATTTTAATCATTGCATTTTATTTCTTCTATTAGCTAAAATTGTAAGCTTAAATAAAAAGTAAATAACATCAGTGTAATACTTTTTCAATTTTTTCAAAAATATATTTTGTCAAAAGAAACTCACAAATTCCTCGCCAATAAATCTGCGTACACTTTTTAAAAAAGCAAAATATAAGTTTTTTACATTACTTCAATACATTATAGGATATCTTTTATTCTTCAAAACAGCTTGCAGACGTCTGGGCATTGACGGAACTAGTTTTTCAGTGTCATGCGACGTAAATTTCGCCCATTCTTCCTGCAATTGACTAATTAGCTCATTTCGTGACGTAATATTGTGTTTTCGAATTAGTTGATCCAATTTTGCCCACAATGTTCGATTGGATTGACGTTGGTGACTGTGGAGGGATTACGAACTGTCTTGGAGTGATAGAGGGATATTCCTTCACAATTTCAGCGCATGTTTCGGGTCGTTGTCTGTTGGAAATAAAAGTATTAGAAAGGTTAAATTTCGGGACTGTCTCGTAGATTTTCTCCAGATATCCAGTAAACACTTATCCATGACTTATCAATAATGTGAAAATTTCCAACTCCTTTCGATGACATACACCCCCATACATCACCCGCCAACTCCATGTTTGACAGTTGGATTTAAATTTCTGATTTCAGTTCTGTTCCTGGTTTTCTCTAGACAAAGGGTGACCATTAACTTTAAATATGTAAACTTACTTTCATCTGACCAATTTACATTGTTCCAGAAGCTGCGAAGAGTAAAATTTTGGCAAAGCAATTCTTTTCTTCTATTTGTCTCGAAATGTATGGCTGACCTAGGTTTGCGTCCATGAAAATCGGATTTCGCAGCACTTTGTACAGTTTAGGAGAAATTTCCTTGTTGCTAGTTAAAATGTCTTTGCAATGCTTGCAGCAAAGTTTAGATTTTGTTTAATTCGTAAAGAATTTTTCTCTCTGCGTTAGCTTCTTCGGTCTCCCACTCTTGGTTTTACAGAAGAATACAGTGTCAAGATATTTTGAATAACTCTTGCACATAGAAATGGTTTCAAATGGTTTACCAATATAATGAAGAGTTTTCTCTCAATTGATAATTAGTTGTCTCGTACTAACGGAATTTCTTTCTGGTTATCATTTTGGTCAAAGAAAATAGAAATAGAAGTTGAATTTGCTTAGGAAGTCAATGACCTTGAAAGTAACTTGATTTCTCAAATTTGAAGTTTAAAATTTAGATAAGAAATCCGCCGCCTCCTTCGCGTTGACGAAACTTTGCTTTGATTTCTGGCCATTATCTTTTAAAATTATTGTGCATAATTAGATATGAAATATTACAGTAAATAATTCAAGTCCCTATGAAACTAAATATTTAAAAAATAAAACTAAGAAACTACCCTTTTCGCACCTTAAAATTTCGATTTGATATTACTTTTCTTGATGTACGCAGACTTTATTGACTAACTGTACGTATTTTTAGAGAGTTTAAAGAAGATTTTTAAATAACTTAAATGAAGGTTATCTTTTTTTATCTAATTACGTTAGGTTTGTGTACGCAGTACAAAACTAGAATGCTTAAGTGTGTAGACACTTAATCATTCTAAAAATGAGAGCTTAACAAAAACATCTTTTCAGAAATCTTAATTCAAATTAACTTCTACTTTAGCGTATCCATGGACGCACACAAGTGTTTTCTGCTAATAACTAGAAAATTGAATACCATGTTTCAAGAAGGTATTTTTTTGTTTAGGTTATTTGATATGGTAAAGCATACGAGGGCCGTCTGTTTAAGAAGAGGTATATGCCTTCATGGAAAATTCTCATTCACGTTACACATGGGAAAACCCTCGAAAATGTCCATGCAACCAGCCCTTACACCTAGAACCGAATTCAGGGCGAACTACCAGCGTTCAGAGACTATCGTCTCGCCACTAGCGGGCACGACGAAAACTGGCTTTATTCACGTTACACATGTGGAAAACCATGAAAACAAGCCATGCAGCCAGTTTGTTAGTCCGGACTGAACTCTCTATCGAGCACTCTTAACTCTGCCATTGGTGAGCTAAAAAATATTCAACACGTTGAGCCCGGCGCCAGCAGTAAACTTTCCGTGTGGCCGTCACTGGAATTGTCGTTTGGCTAGCGTGGGTCTATGTGACCGACAGTATTAAAGTTTAAAAGTAAATACAGTCTCAAATGTGATCAAATGTAGATTTAATGAAATTTATTTGAAACATTCTAAACAAAAATACGGCTTAGCTTTACACATTACAATAAGTAACAACTTTTTGGCAACATTGTTATGAATCTGGATCAAGCCGATTTTGGTACGAAGATAACCGGCTGAACCGAAACCAGCCGGCTGAACGGAAAGGACAGAAAATTCGGCGCCGGGCTCAACGTGTTAATTGAACTGAAATGTTTAAATCTTCAAAGACTTATTGCAGCAAGAAGCTATGGAAAGCTGACAACATCCATTTTTCAGAGTTCAAATAGTAATTTCAGAATTCAAATAGTAACTACAGGGCAGACAAGCATGATTATGGTATACGGAATTTACCAAAAATAAAAATTGATACAGCGATGTGGTTTCACGTTTTTCAAAACGTGATTTCAATATTTAGGTGCATTTCTATAATATTTATTTGAAAAAATCAGACTTTCATATTACTCAATTATAGATGTAACGAGTACATCCGACTTCCAGTTTTAAACGATTGATTGCATTTAAAAATGTTCCACATCTTTCATTCAAAATGTTTCGTAATTTTACACTACAACTATTTGTGCCAAATGAATTCAATTGAATTTGAGCATATTTAAATACAAGTAAATTCAAAGCGAATTAGGATTGTTATTTACAAAGAAAAATTTCTGTATCTACATGATGATTCATTTGAAATGCTGATAATGCAATTTTAAGATTTCCTTATAGACGCATGCTACAGAAAATTAAATTTTTGCTTCTAATATTAACTAAACTCGGGAAATTGGATTATTTAAAATGTAAATTTCTTAGTTGAAACAGTTAGCTGTTCCAATAAACGAAGCAAAATACAACAACATTTAAATTTCATGGACACGTTATTTTAAAAACAAGAACGCCATTAAAAGTAAAAATACTTTTTAAGCCAATACGCGACTTAATGACAGTAGGGCGCTGGAAAAAATTTAATTCACAGGAATTGCAGTGTTTTTCTAATTATTGCAAAACGATCCTTTACGCACTGTAGTTCAAAGTATTCTTAAATACAATGCGATTTTCAATCCAGTTAAAAATATGAATAGAAATTGTCATTTGAAAAGGTTTCTGCGTACCGTAAAAGAATGATTCTTGGCATCTCTAGCTCAGTTATGTTTTATTCAGAATAGTAAATTGAACTTAATATAAAAATCGTCTTCACATTCTAGATTGATTCTTTACACAATCTATAAACCATACAATATTAAACTGAAAATATTCAGTATTAACTCCATTTTCATTACTAATTTTATATCGCCCCCAAAATTAAAATTTCTTCTATACTTTTATTTTCCTTGGCATAATAATTGATAGCTTCGTAGGGATTAATTCAGAAAAACCGAAGTTTCGGAGGAAATCTTTTGATCGCGCTCGTAATTTTCTTTACTAACTATTTCAGGTCAAATCGTAGCCATTTTCTTAAATTACAAACCTTAAACTTAAGTTAATTACAAATCAATAGCTGCCAGTTTAACATTTGAATATATGAATAAAGTTTAGAATTAAATAATTTAAATTCAGTCTCTCGCACTGAACGACTCCCACTATGGGGGACTTGTCCGGAGCAGTATAACCTCTTCGGTTTCTTCGGGTTTTGTGCCAAAAAGTAATGAAGCATCCACCATAGAAGATAATTTTGCCTTCCTTACTTTAAAGAATGATATCACTCAAATTCATGATAATAGCCCAGAGTGATCTTTAAAGGCCTATATGAATATACTGAAGTACGATATTTAGAAACTTTCGTCAATATGTAAAATTCTACGTATTTTAAACAGTATAAAATTCGGAAATCCTCTCCACAATGGAAGCCCTAGGCATAGAGTTGTTTGCCTTCTCACAAGGTCTACATTTAAAGAAAAAATACCAAAATTGGCGTTTTATATGAAGATCCCAATTCCGCATTTTGTAAAAATTCTGCCTATAGCATACAAATTCTAGACTTACGTTTTCAAGCTTACCAAGACTATCGACAACATGCATTTTAGGGTTCAAGGTTAAATAAGGTGGGAACACCACATTTTTAATTTGAACAAATTTAGAAAGTTTGGTTTACTTAATTAACATAATGATAGCACACGAGGGCTATTAACCTAATGAGATGGATGCCTTTGTGGAGGACTTAAAGAAAACTCGTGTCCACGTTACGCATCGTTGCACCCAGGGAAAAAAATCACGAAAACTCATGCAACCAGCTTGTTCGCCGCGAGTGAAACTTCGGTCGAACAACCGGTGTTGAGCGAACAACCGCTCGGCCTCTGTTGGGACAGAAATTTAGAAAGAATATTTCCTTTTTCAGCCTTGGAACCTGACACACATTCAAGTTAAACAAGGGGAAAGTCTTGAAAATGCATATAGTTAGCCCATTCACCGGAATTTTAACCACGTCCTGCGGTATTCACTTGGCCATTACGACGCTAGAAACCGCAATGAATTACATACGTTTCGCGGCACAAGCCACAGTTAATATGAATTGTAATTCTTTTAAGTTCACGTTTAATATATACGTCTCTTACACAGTTTGTCTTAAGTATAATTCTTAAATTTGAATATACGTAAGCTGTCAATTTTTGACTTTACAGGATAAGGCCATGGCAAGCATTCAAGAGCAGAGAGGACTTTCTAAGGAAAACCAACATTTTTGCTTTAACATGGGGTAAACCATGAAAGTTCTCATGTAGCTATTTTTTGTCTTCAACTGAATCTAGATAAAACTACCAGTGTTCAGCAGATTTACCACTCCGTCGCTGGCGGGCCTGTTCACTTTTTTAACTACCTTTTCTTAAAACAGTATAATCATAGTTGCCATTAAGCATTTATAACTCACCAGAAAGTTCATATGGATTGCCCTCAATTTCTTAATATTCGAAGAAACGACGTCTCGTTTAAGCTTTTCGGAACATTGTGATAAGTCACCACTTAAGTGTTAACACTAATGTAACAAGATATCCTTTTAGTTGACGGCTATTAAAGGTTTATGCACCCGATTACGACTACGCATTCTACATGGATTATGGGAACTGAAACTCTTAGTTACGAAATGTAGATTTTACTAGTTTGCAATATTAAAATTTTTATAATTAGATGTAAAATTTTATGATTCATTTACCTATAGAAAATAGTTCTAAATATAAATGAGTTAATTACCTAGATTCCGGACTCGGCGTAGGAGCACCGATTGCCTTCTCCTTCAAGGGGATGACTATGAACCCTGGGTAACCGGGACAAAGACTTCCAAATCTATTGCGTCTGACCTAGCATTAAGAATTCACATTTTATATTTCAGGAAATGTTTACAAACATTCAGTGCATTTAAAAGGCAAATAAAAATGACTCTGATGTCAAAAATATAACTGATAAAATTTATGATTAAAGAAATAACTTTGAAAACGGTAAATACAAAACTTCTCTGGGAAGTACTCACATCACATATATAGTCTCTTTCGAAAAGGGTAACACACATCCTCCCCATGGTAAGGTGATCCTGCAATTTAATAAATTAGTATAGCTGATGCATGCATACATATAATTTATATATACTCAAATTGGTACTTGTGTATTATCCAGTACCCGCTGATATACCAACAATCTATTGGCGCTTTTTGGCGATTAAATACATTTTCAGAATCCACAAATTCCGACGGGGACTGTGGCTATTGCAATTAAAATTGTATTAGGGTGTATTCTCCACTATCTCTTCCTTAATATGAACTAATAAATAAGTT